TAGTAAAATGAGGCTAATTAGACTTCCTCAGAGAATTGCCATTCTCAGAACAGCACACAGTACATTGGCTGTGCTTTGTGAAGAGTAGCAGATATTAAGTTGAAGTGAGGTGAGAGGAGGATCCTCAGAAGTCACTCGTGTCTACCTTTCAGCCTGTCATGGTGGGGGTAGTTCATTCTGTGTCTAATTTCATCCTTGTTTCCACTAACACATGGAAAAGATTGATAGGAACACATACTGGAAAAGGGGAATAAAGAATTAAAGGGCCTCTGAAGGGAGGGGAAATGGAGAGAAGGTAGACAAAGTGACCGTGAGATGCTAAAATGTGACATCAGCCACTGTCTCAGAAACCAGGGTGCCACTGCCCTGGAATTCTGCCCTTAACCCAAAGAGACTTGGGTGTTTATTCTTTTTTAAAGAATTTCAAGGCTCTCCTTTTCAGTTCATTAGTGCTCAAGTCATTGTCTAGTCTTCTTCAGTTCATTCTCTTGGAGAGGCAGCATTTGTAAGTACTACCATCCCTCTGCCCACATCCATCTTTCTCATTCATTCATTCTTTAAGCTATGTATTCACAGGTATTCCGACGGTGGGCTCAGACACTGTGCTGGGGTGTGTGTATGCATTTTGGTGGGGTGGAGTAGGTGGACTTTTCCCCTTTTGCACTTTTAAGTTTGGTCTACTTAGCTTTTTTTGTTAAATTGAAAATGAAGCTTCTGATTTAAAAATAATCAGACTATCTGGGAAATTAAAAACAACAACAGATGAACTATTACAAATCTGGTAAACCAATTAGTCAAGTGTGGAGAGTGAAGGACATGCTTGGAATAATTTTGACTCATATAATTACCTCAGAATAATTTCTTGAGTGTTTCTAGGCAACAGCAAGTTAAATAAGAAACAAATGGCTGCGCTTTCTCTCTCTCCCTTTTTTCTTTCTTTTCTCTCGTATGTTGTCCTAACAGAACAGCTTGTCTGCTTTCCTGCTATGTGGTATTAGATATGGCTGGTTGGGTTAGAGCCGGAAGGCAGAATCATTTAGGGTGTGATATTTTCATAGAACATACCTCGCCTGTGTTTGATGAAACATTAGTTTCATTAAGGTACAAATGGCCTGCACAGGTAGATAAGCACATTAGGTAGGGGCTAAACTTGGATATAAGTCATGATGAGCTAAACTTTGATAAATGACAACCAGCATAACCCATTCCCTCCCAGAGAACATTGAAGCTTTATATTTCTACCTCAGCGGTTTGGATTCCCTTCTGCAATGGCATCTTGCCTGCGATCTTCCGAGTTAACTGAATACAGTATTGCTTTACATGATATAGAGAAGCTTGTTTTTTTCATAGTTCATGTTCATGTGTGGAGGAATTTTCCTCCTGTCACATGGGATGTGTGTCTGTCACTGCTGTGACACCTGTGTGACTTTTCTCATGACACACAGCCCCACGCCTTCCAAGGCTTCCCTGGACTTTCATATCACATGTGAAGGCAGTTTCTAACTGTGCGGGGGAAACGAAAGCCCATTAAAAGGAGGCAGAAGGTCAGAGGATACTTGGGAATATTAAAAAAAAAAATCCGTCCTAGAGAACGTTTAATCGTAAGTAGCTTATCCCTCTCAAAGGGAACGCCATGCGTTTGCATCATTCCCTCGGCTATTAACCTTTTGCATTTCATGCTTGTGACATTTCTGCTGGGCAATCTGTGTGCTCCAATTAAAGCCAGAGATCTTTGGATAGAGCTCAAGAAATGGTCAAGTGTCGTCTGGAGGGGTGCGTGATGTGGGGCGGTTGTCATTCGGGTGTGGGCCACTGAGCAGGGGGAAAGCAAGGGAGGTGTTGGGGCAGGGTTTCCACTCGGCCAGTGCATTTGTGCCTGCAGGTATTTGGACTGAGAAACCAGCACTCCTGTACCTACAGTTAGACAGTGGATGGTTCAGGGGGTCACTGTGGGAGCAAGGCTTATTTGGGAGGCAAATGGACACTCGTGCTTAAGCAAAGTGATTCCGAAGGAGGTGTACAACACAGCTTTCCTCCTGGAAGCATTCACTCCTAAGGTATTAATCAGGGCAGCAGGCAAACACTTGATAATATTGTTCCAAAGCTAAGCCTGTGACTTGGGGACAGAAACCATGGAAACCCATTTATTTTCTGAAATGTTGCCTCTCTCTGGGAGAAAAGAAGAGAGAGGATGAATTACAGATAGTGTTTAAGATGTTAAATATTCAGGGGGATGTCTACATACATGCACACAACAGTGAAATTGCAGTATTTTGTTTATTGGAAATAAAAAAGGATAGAGTTTATAGAATTAAACTTTTGTAAAAATTTTTCTGCAGGATGTGAGGCACAACTTTATTTTTATGATTAGGACTTTTAATTTGGTTTTAAATCCTGGCTCCTGATGTTTAGCTACCTGGGATGGGGTAAGTTGGCCTCTGTAAATGTCAATTTTTCTCATCTGTTAACTGCTACTCATCTCACAGGATAGCTGTGAGAATTCAGTGAAATACTATATATGAAGTATTTAGCACAGTGTCTGGTCCATAGTAAATAAACCCTTCTATTAGCATTCTATGCCAAAAAGAAAATTCATCAATTATTTTCAAATGGAAAGACTCCTACTTGAGTGGTATTCTCAGTTTAGTCTCAGTACAGAGAAAATATTCTTTGCATTGGCATAAAGAAGTGAGAGCTCTTGGCCAGAAACAAAACATCTGGATAAAGGTGCAGGCTGAGTCCTTTTAAAAATTATTTTGACTTTTGATGAGAAATAGTACTCAGTAATTTCTGGACATCTGCCTTGTGTCAGGCACTCTGGAAGTTGCAGTCTTCACAGCAGTCCTGTAAAGTAGCTATCACTGTGCCACTAGTGCAGGAAAGGAAACTGAGGCTCAAAGAGATGAAACGACACGGTCTAGCCTGTGTACAAGGGTCACCAGAACAGGGACTTCAATGCTGGAGGTCATGCTCTTTCAGTTAATCTCACAAACCTGGACGTTGGAGGAATGAACATTTCATGGACAGAATCTGGCTCCACTACAGTTGCTGAGGTAATAGTGATATTTCTATGCCGATGTTCCCATGAAAGCCTTATCCTCTAACGGAGAGACCTGGCCGCATGGCAAATGTCATCCTTGAGCAGGCACCTAAGTCAAGTGATAAATCACGTCCAAGGCTTGGGTTCCTTTCCCTGCTTAGGGGGTGGGAATGGCTCTGTCTGGTTCAGCTTCATCAGCTGGCTCCACTGGTACTCAGAGCTCACAGGAAATTGCACTGATTTAGCTGGTCATAAAAACTGCTTAAGCACTGGGGGTCGTTGTTTAGGAGAAAGATTGAATTTAAAAACATGCACCTGAGTTTTTTTTTTTTTTAGCAGCTTTACAAATATCTGAGAAGAAAATGTTCAGGCATCAGGTAAAGCTGCCTGGACAACGTGATTTCTAGCTGGGCAGACGCAGAGGCAGCTTAACATAGACAAGGCGTAGATATGTTTTGTCTCTGTATGTTGTTTCAGATCATTCTGTTCTTTGTACGTTTTAAACCAGATCAACCTACCTTTATGGGTCACAAGATTGTGAGTTATTTTGCTCTTTGCAAATACATCTTTTTAGGGCCATTCCTTAAACAAAACAGCTTGCTAATCATGATAGATGTTTGCCTGTGTTTGTTGGGTGTTTTGCTATTTCCAGGACATTTATGTCTACAGCTCTCTCCTCACTTTTCAGTCAAAGAAGACAGAGCCTGGCTTGCTTTGAGGCCTGTGACGACTCTTGACTGGCTCTGTGACCTTCACCAAGTTCCTCATCATCTCGGAACCTGCTTCCTCATCTGTGAAATGGAGGTGGTCATGCCTTCTTTTTAAAGATTGCCCAGGCTGGGCTCGGTGGTTCAGCCTGTAATCCCAGCACTTTGGGAGTCTGAGGCGAGTGAACTGCCTGAGCCCGTGGGTTTGAGACCCGCACTCCAGTCTGGGCGAGTTGAGTGAGACTCCAATTCAAAAAAAAAAGATTGCCTGTATTAAGTCACTTAATGCAAGTTGCTTTGTCAGTTGTGCAAGGCCCTTTGAAAATGACCCGTTCTTGTCATTATTATGTAGATGTAAGGATTACAATCATTTGGTGTTTATTGAGAAGTCCTGATGGGTTAATAGCATCCTGAAGATCTAAGGTAAAACTGTGCTGGGATGCCAGAGACTGGGTGATGAACAGATATGTCACTGGCAATTTACATGAGTGAATAGAGGGACATCGAGGAAGCTCCTGGGGTTGGTGGGAGCACAGTGACAGAGGGTGCTTCAAGGACCTTCTGGGAGACAGAGTGCTGAAAAGCAGTCCCCGGGGGCTGCTGTGTGCCTTCATTTTCCAGGTAGTGTGAGGTAGTCAAATCGGCCAGCCCCCGACCTGCCACTTTCTAGTTGTGTGAATTCCTTAATTTCTCTGCAAAAAGTGAAGATAATACCTACAGGGTATTATCACAGGATTATGAATACTAAATGGGACAGTCTATGTAACGTGGCTGGTGCGTAATATGGTTCATTAAGCATTTCTTTTTCCTCCTCCTTCCCCTTTTCTTTAACTCTTGGTCAGACAGAAGCTCTGAAGCTTGAAATAGACAATCTACTATCAATACTCCTCGAAGCTTATGTGCTTCTCAGAGCATTCAGGCAGGGTCTAAAAGCAATCGTCAGAGTCCTAGTAAACACTCTTGGATGACGCAGGACACTGCCCAAACTTGTTAACAGAGGCTGAGTACGTTTAGCTGCTTCAATTATCATCTGATGCAGAGTGAATTATAGGTGGAACGGCTCTCATAGGAGGTGTAGAGGGGAAGCAGGCAGATGTCTACACAGTGAAAAAGATTTCCAGGGATTGAACTTGGGACTCCTTTAGAGAAATGGGCTCAGTGCTGAGGAAGGAAGCAGGGAATCATCCGCTGAAGCCGGACCCTTGGTGTGAAAGTCTTGCTAAGTGGTGACTTCCAAGGAGTCGAGTTTTCCAAACTGTGGAACGGCTTTATTGGGTTCTTTAGAAAATATTTGTTACCTCCTATTTGGAATGGCTTCCTGTCTTTGAGTAAACAACTGAGAGGTTTATACCGGAAACATTTCAATAGTATCCACTTTTAAGAATGTTAATTTCAAAAACATCTAGAGAAAGATGAGTAGTAATTGAATTTAGGTATTAAGTACATAAGTGCATGCCATTAAACAGGTAAAATGAAAGTGAGTGAGGTCTTGAAAGTTGCCTTTATTTCAAAGACAGGTAGACTTTAATTTGTTGTCATGATTATACCATCAGAAATTCCATTTTTCCTCTGTGATTTTAAGTTACTTTTCCTATATCTATTTCTTTCATGCCGTCTTTTGGTGATGATACTAATGATCGTGTCTTATATTTGAGCTCTTCGGTTTTTTTCATGTCCGTCACCTCATTTTTAATTTAAAAAAATTTTTTTGAGTTGGGGGGGCCTCACTCTGTTGTCCAGGCTGAAGTGCAGTGGCCCAATCCTGGCTCACTACAGCCTCGACCACCTGAGTTCAGTGATCCTTCCACTTCGGCCTCCCCAGTAGCTGGGACGACGGGCATGCACCACCACGCCAGGTTAATTTTTAAAATATTTTGTAAAGAGAAGGTCTCATTATGTTGCCCAGGCTGGTCTGGAACACCTGGGCCCAAACAATCCTCCCACTTTGGCCTCCCAAAATGCTGGGATTACAGGTGTGAACCACTGGGTCTGGCCTAAGCCAAGGCAATTTAAAAATGTTACTTGTTGTACCAGAAGTTGCCTGACTCTGTACTGATTGTGCATAATGAACAGGGAAGGACCTTGAGAAGTGAGGTGAATATCTGTGACCAAATCATCAAGGAAGCAGAAGAGGAAAAATGTAAGTGAAGTATCCCTGTGTAATCTTCTCTTCTGGAATATCATGGTTGTGACAGGGGAGCACCTGGGGGAGGTGAGATGGAAGGACAGTGTAAACATACCCATAGGCCTGATATCTATCCTAAGGTGAGAGTGGGGTCTGGGCTGTGAAGAAGGACTGGTTTTATGTGCATGTACCATGTGCCAGAAAATATATGTGCATGCATATAGTTTAGCACATATATCTTAAAATCTATCCAACAACACTGAAAGATAGGTATTGTTACTACCATTTTGCAAGAAGTAGGCTCAGAGAGACATGAGTAGGTCACCGATATGCATTTAAAAAATAAACCTGGTGCTGCTGTGCTCTAGTGACACTTCTGGTAAAATTCTTCTTGCTGGCTTCTGGTGTGTTTCCCTAGTCTTTTTAAGAAATTCAGGTAGAAGGTCTGGCTATACCCCTGGCAAAGAGAATGGCTCTTCTATGTGCACTGTGAGACAAAGTCAAGATCAAGGTGGCTGTGGGTGTCTTGGCGAGAGCCATACCTGAGGATGCTCTGTTCTAGGACCTGGATCTGGCGCTGGTCCTGCTGGTTCTGCTTCTTCATCTCTTCCTGTTCTTTTCCACTGCTGATTCCATCCAGAAGCCATTTCTCCCTCAAGGCCTTTTTCTGAAGTCAGGAAACATAAAGATACATTCTTATCTCAGTCCACAGTTTTCACAGTCTCTTACTGCTTTCAAATCATGACTGTCAATAGGGAACATACTGAAAGGAAAGTGTTTTCTCTCAGCACCCTGCCTGAATAAATCTGGTGTTTTCCTTCATTGCAGCATTCTTGATCCTCTTCCAAAGTCCATTTTTATGGATTTAAATCCTGTCTAGCTTTCAAGGTCTAGTTTAGGCCCCACTTTCTTCTTATTATTATTTATTTATTTATTTTTTGTAGAGATGAGGTCTTGGAGGATATGACTTTGTTAAGGGCACAAGATCCTATCCTCCAAACAAATAACAGTAAGGACATCACATCATGAGGTCCCTATATTACTGCAATAAACATACATTGCTGAGCTGGGCACAGTGGCTCACACCTGTAATCCTAGCACTTTGGGAGGCTGAGGCAGGAGGATCACTTTAGTCCAGGAGTTTGAGACTAGCCTGGGTGACATAGCAAGACCTTGTCTCTACAAAAAAAATAAAAATAAAAAATAAATAATAATAAACATGCATTGTTGCATGACTCTGAAGAAAGAGTTTTCAAGGGTGAGAACCATGCTGGCAGGAGAGATGGGGAGCAGGGATCTTCATAGAGAAGGTAGGGCCTATACTAGACCTTGAAAGCTAGACAGGATTTAAATCCATAAAAATGGACTTTGGAAGAGGATCAAGAATGCTGCAATGAAGGAAAACACCAGAAGAAGGATAGGATCTTGTGCCCTTAACAAAGTCATAGCAGGGATCAGTGGCTCAGCCTGTAATCCTGTGCTTTGGGAGGCTGAGGTGAGTGAATCGCCCGAGCCCGTGGGTTCGAGACCTGCCTGGGCAACTTGGCGAGACCTCATCTCTACAATAAATCAAAAAATTAGCCGGGTGTGGTAGCGCATGCCTGTAATTCCAGCTACTTGGAAGGCTGAGCGGAGGGATTGCCGGAGCCCAGCAGGGCGAGGCTGCGGTGGCTGGGAGCAGCCACTGCACTCCAGTCTGGGCGACAGAGTGAGACTCCAACTCAAACAACAACAACAAAAACAAAGTCATAAACTCCCTGAGTGACAGCATGCAATGACTATTCCACAAAAACCCTTTGCAGGGTTAATTGGAATGATGGGCAAAATGGAGGGTTGCTATCGTATCTTAAATGAATTCATTGCCAGTCCTTGGTTGTGTGGTAGACATTTATTGTTTGCCTAATCAGCTCCCCTTCTTTCATCTGGGAAGCTCCCTGGTTATGGGTGCTCTTATGTTGCTCCCTACCTGTTCTAATAATAAGATGCACAAAATTCAGTGCTCTGGCTACATACTGATGAGTTGAATTCTGTCAGTTATAACAACACAAAACAGACTTATGCTTCGTCATATGAAAAAAAAATCTTGAATTTCCATAACAGAATTAAACTCTTTGACCTGAATCTAAGAAGGCCTAAAAAAGCGAAAGAGACATATGCATTTTGGAGGGATTTTAGTTAGCATCTAGTCCATGTCTTAAGTAGAAATTCAGTATATACATGGTTACATTATATTCAAAGAGTTCAAATTTCTCTCCTTCTCCTGGAAAAAAAGAGGTTATAATTATATATCTATTTTGCCTCTATAAATTATTTGTTCAGTTATTCATTGTTAATTTTTCATTGGGGATTCTCTATGTCTAAAATGGTGAGGAGAGAATGGAAACTTTATTTTCTGTGATTCCTTTCTCTTATATTACATTTAATATTAATGAGACCGAGTAAGATGAATTTTGTGCATTTTAAAAAAAGCTTACTAGAATGAATACACTGGGATACAAATATCTCTAAATTAAAAAAAATTGATTAAGCTTAGTGTGCTAGATAATTAGCAAAGGATAGTTTTTTCCATGAAGGCAATGACTTTCACAACATTAAAAAAAAATTACACCGATTACAAATAATTATGATTTGGAACTAGAGTTTGGAGAACAGCTAGAATCTGGGCCACTTTAGCTGGAATGCTGAGTGGCCTGATAGTGTATGGATACACAGACGTGGCTTGAAAAACACTAGATCAAGTGAACAACACCCTCCCATAGATAGAAGCGTTTGTGCACGGATAACACACACCACTAGAACCATTTGTAGCACTCCCTGTTGCCACGGATTTTTAAGCCCAATGTTACTGTCATCATTTTTTTATAGCTGCGAAGCTGTTTGCAACAATGTTTCCATCAGACCCAGTAAATCTTCTTAATATAAGGCCAAGATTTAGGTCCTGAGTCAAAGATGCCAAGAAAATATTAAATATACCAGCATTTTAAGAATTTGCCTTGATTTAATTTACGGAATTTGAAGGCAGTTAATGCACAGATGATATATATCAGAGTAAGTTATAGTCTTTACAAACCACTGTTAAGGTTGTTCCAGTCAACTGCACCCATATCGCTACAAGAAACACTCAGAAGGAATGGTCTTAGGACTCTGAATTGTCGAGGACAGAGAATGATTCTTGTGACATGAATAGGGTAACCTGGGGCTACACCTTGGTTCTTAGACTGGTTAGAAATCCTCTGTGCCTGGCCAGAAATAAGAATAATTTTAATTTTAGTGTTGTAAAACTTTGTTTATACTTTACACATTGTCATCTACCCCTGGTGGAGAACTCTTTTGAACTTAGATATAAAATATACAATTTGGATGTGTAAGTAAAATGCTCTGGTACAGTCACATATTGTAGTCACCAAAACGATTATTTTGCTTTGATGTCACAGTTTAGACTCGTGCTTTAGTAAATGAGACTAATGAATAGAATAAAAGCTATCTCACAATGCAATTTGGATGGAAAACCATATAAACTAAATGAAAATGTAAGTGACATGTAGGCTAGATCTTTTGGCAACTTTTTAGGGAAATATTTTCCCAAAGCACTTCTCAGAGACAGGTTGGGAATTGCAGAGGCTAATAAAATTTCTTGACATGGTGAATATAGAATTGATTTTTTTTTTTTTTTGAGTTGGAGTCTCACTCTATCATCCAGGTTTGAGTGGAGTGACACACTCATGACCATCACAGCCCTGACCTGCTGGGCTCAGGTGATCCTTCCGCCTCAGCCTTCCAAGTATTTGGAACTATAGGCACACGCCACCACACCCAGCTAATTTATTTATTTATTTATTGCAGAGATGAGGCTGGTCTTGAACCCCTGAGCTCAGGCAGTCCTCCCTCTCATCTTGGCCTCCCAAAGTGCTGGGATGACAGGTGCGAGCTACCGTGCCCGGCCTAGAATAGATAGAAGTGTTTGCATGTGTTTGGACCCCGTTTTGGAATTATGCCTACTGCTGTTTGGTATAGCCAATTATTTTTGCAAAACTTGGAGAAGTCTTCTCTGTGGAAATGACCACTCCTTCCTCTGTGTTCCTTGCCAGTTCATACAGTTTGGATGTGTAAGCAAAATGCTCTGGAACAGTCACATACTGTAGTCACCAAAATGGTTATTTTGCTTTGATGTCACAGTTTAGGCTCGTGCTTTAATATATGAGGCTAATGAATAGAATAAAATCTATCTCATAATGCAATTCAGATAGAAAGCCATATAAGCTAAATGAAAATGTAAGTGACATGCAGGCTAGACAATGCATTCTCATAGTGCATCACAGGATATGCCATTACGAGTCTGTGTCAGTTACAGTTTTAAGGATGCAGGCCAAATTGTATTTGTATTTGTTTCATATTCTTAGTGTCTAACTTAGTACTTTGTGCATAACAGGTGCTTAATAAATGTTTACTGATGGAAAGGCCATATGTATATCCATATAAATTCTGCTTTTTAATTAAGGCTCAGCTTAAATCCCACACCTTAAATAGAAACTTCTTTGATCACACCAGATTAAAGAATTAATGCTTATATTCTAATTTACATAAAACTTACTGTTTAACTTGCTTATTTGTTTAATCTTAAATTTCCCAAATTAGGAAAACATAGGTATTTCTTCCTCGGTCTCCCTGCTGCTCCCCATTCCTCTTTGGGCTAGTGCACAGCTTGGACAAGCGGATAACATTTTTGTGCAGAGAAAATGAAAATCTCTTGCTCCAGATACAAGCGGCCCTGGGTCAGAGTGCATGGTGGGCAAGAGTGTATAGACAGGACTTTAGCACACCTTTCTCAGGCATTTTTGTCAGGGCACAATCTGCAAAACCTTGCACAGCAGTCCTACACATGATCCATGTTTTTATTGGATGGGATTAGAAGAGGTGTCCTGGGTGCCAGTAAGCAAATCAGGAGCGGGGAGTCTGTGGTCATTTCAGGACCAAGTTTGGCAAGTGTTGAAAGGAGGTGCCACCTCAGAAATGGACCTGTCAGTGAGTCAGACTTTTCCTATGTGAAATCACTTCCCAGAATGAACTGAGGGATGTTTAAAGCTTTTCTCCTACCATGAACTCTGCTGTCCTTGGGCTGCTCATTCTGTGAAGATAGCAAAGGCTGAATGCGGGAGAGCTGTCAGGTTCCTCAGAAGCAGGAAACCATTGACTGACAGACCCAAACTGTATAAATTGTGTGTGTGTGTGTGTGTGTGTGTGTATGCGTGTGTGTGTGTCTGTATGTATATGTGTGTGTGAGACATAGAGAGAGAGAGAGACAGAGACACACAGAGAAAGAGAAAGACAGAGAGACAGAGATACACACACACAGAGAAAGAGAAAGTGAGTGAGAGAGAGAGAGAGAGACAGAGACAGAGAGGAGAGAGAAAGAGGGAGACACGCAGAGAAACAAAGACACACACAGAATTACAAAGAATGAGAAAGTGAGAGAGAGAGAGAGAGAGAGAGAGAGAGAGAGAGAGAGAGAAAGAGAACGTGCATGCGAACGTGCAAGTGACCTCTGGTTTTGGAGTTAGAAATGGCCTATCTCAAAACTGTTGACTTCATTTGAATTGCACCGAAATAACCTGGAAAAAAATTTTCATTCCATTGATTTTCTGGGAGTACACACAGTAATCTTGAGTATGTTCACTACTCAAGTAAATTCAATGTGACATATTGTAAGGACTTTGAAATTATCCATCAGACATCGGAAATGTCAACTTGTATGGAAGCAAAGAGGCAAACAGAATCCAGAAGACTGATGTGATTGGAATCTGACATCACATTTCTTTTCCAAGGTGGGGACTCATTCCATGAGGAGAATGGACGGAGCCGGATTTGGCAAGTTTAATGAAAGTCTGTAGATCCCCTGCATGTACAGTGTTGTTTCATTAAGTGAATTCATTGTTTTTTGAGGGCAGCCCTGCCAGATAAGTAGCTTCCTGCTTGGGCCTGTTCACAAGGAGCCTGTGTTTGTCATTTGCTTTTATCCTGTCACTAAGATATGTAATAAAATGTTGAAAGCCAATGTGCTTTAATTACAGAATGACCACACCCAGTGGAAGATATAAAGTCTGATTTTAAAAATGGAGGGTTATTTCTGGTTATGATCTCATGTTCTGTCAAAACAAAATAAAACAAAAACCGAGACCATACTCAAACAGCGTTGGATTCATTCCATTGAGTTTTTAAACACAAGCACCCTTGACCAGGCCAGACACTGTTCCACACACGCTCCCCTTACCCCACGGCTCCCCATTCCAACTTTTCATTGATTTCAAAAGGAACTTCCCACTGCTCCCTGGGGATGTTGAGTAAGACTGCAAATAGAGCTGGAGTCTCAAGGCTGAATTCTCAAGGTTACCCCCCAAAATTAGGAAATTCAGTAGTAAGGGATCAAAACAATAAAAAAATCATGTTTTCAACTTGCCATATTTGCCAGAGGTATTCATCTCATGCAAATACTATTAGCCTGCGGGCCCCCTATGGATACTATCATGTCAGTAACCCTGTGTTGGGGTTTTTTGTTTCCTAAAGCTTCTTTACTATTGAAACCCAAGCCATCAGGATCCTTAGATATAAAATCATCGAAATGAAACTAAAGTCATACATTACCTTCAAATGCTGGTGCTTTAGTTTTTCTTCTTCTATTTTCAGACGCTTCTGTGAGATTTCTTCCTGTATTTTTCTTTTATCCTGAAATGAAAGAGTCCCAGCATATTTTAGTTTTAAAGTTTGCTTAAGTTCCGTTTCCTTGGAGCTGTGCTCCTGGCTAGGGAGGAGAGGCTCACGCATCACAGCAGAGGGAAGAAGAGCAAGGGATGGGAAGCATTTACGCTTAGGGAAGCAATGCAGAAAGGTGCTTCTACAAAGAGGACTTAAACATACTGTAATACCTTTTCTTCCTTACCGATCCTTTCTTCCATCAAGACTGAGTGACTGAGGGATGCGACAGAAAAAGTGAATGTTAAGGGGGAAGTTTTGAAATAAGTATGGGGAAACTTTGCTAGAGGAGAGACCAGCACTGGTACAAGGGTGAAGAGGCTTCTGGGAGAGACCTGCTTGTATGGAAAGATGGGGTAGCCAATGGGTCACTATAAAAACTAGGAAGCCAGAGGTAGGGCAGCCTTTCCCTTGTATACCTTGCCTTAGGAAGACAGAGAAAAAGAGCTCAGGTGATGATTCTCAACATGAAGAGGGCTTTTAGTTGAGGCCAAATTCATGGAGAAAAAGACTATCTGTCACCAAGTTCAAATGACCTCAAAACATCAGACAGCATAGCTATTAACACATTAGAGGTGGTTGTACTTTTTAGAAAATATAGCAAATAGACTAACTAGACAATCTGAGTCTGATTTCTGACCCCTCCTCCATTTATTAGCTCTGTGTCTTTGGACAAAGTTCTTTACTCCTCTGTGCCTCAATTACTCATCTGTAAAATGGAGATACTAAGAGTACTCACAGCATACACTATCACCATTAAATATATGTAAAAGTCCCTCAAACAGTGCTTGACACACAGTGCTCTAGAAGTGTTTAATAACCCTAAATTTTAAAACCAACATATAACTTATTAATCATACAGAAAGTAACATATGAATTCTGACAATGCTTTTAGTGGTTTGAAATGTTTTAGAGACGCTCTGCCTAGACAGTTGACTAATACAAAACAGTCATTATTTCCTCATTTTTGATCAGAGGTGATGCCACCTCCATCTTATTTGTGTTGGTTTTAAATCTGCTTTCAAAATGGAAAAACTCCCAAAGGATAGCATGTTGTTGCCATTGAAGACATCCAGAAGAATTTGAAGCAGACTCAGAGGTAATTTAGAAGAAAGAGTTCCAGAAATACTTGGCAATGTTACTGAAATAAGTGTGTGGCTTCCTGATGTGATTACTTTGAAGATAAAAACTCCTTTTTGATGTCTAAGTTCAGGTACATTTGTTAAAGACAAACAATACATTGCTCTCAAGCTTTGTGCCGTGTTTTTCTTTGTGCATAAGAAGAATGTATGACTTCAGCACTACTTTGAAAACTTCATAAGAGGTTCTTTTGGGAAAAACAGAACCAGGCAACAGGCATGGATGTTCAGAATCACTTCTTTCTTTGGATGAAATCTGGTCATTAGTAATGAAAACGTTGAAAGCCTCTAGGAGTTAATTCTTCAGTACATCTAAGGGCTGCGCTTGAGCAAATATTAGTTATGTCTAAATTTGTTTACCAAACATTTTACTAAGAGTTCTACCAGTGCTCTTTCACTTAACACTCATAATATAATAGTCTCATTTTTACAAAAGAGGAAATGGGATTTTAGGGGAGATTAACTCTTCCAAGTTCTCACAACTGGTAAGTGGCAGAGCCTGGAGGGAACCTAGGCAATCTGACACCAGGCTCCACAATCTTAGCCGATTTGCTGCCTTATTTCTTTGAGGGAGAAGTTAACTAAGCTAGTCCCAACCTCCCTCACTGTCTTCTCCATTGGAAGTGCGGTAGGCTAGAGGCAGTACTAGGGCAGGAGGAGTGAGCAGCCCCCTCGCATGTGCTTAGCTCCCTAGAGGTGGGCATGGTGACCAACGCTCCGTGAACAGCCTCCCTGGAGAAGAGCACATTGTGTCTGGTGGCCGGGGACTGCTGGACCCAGCAATGCCTCTGTAACCCTGTTGATTGTCAGTGTGGCTGGCTTCATCCTGGGGCTAGTAATCAGGTGACTGAAGTCGTGGGTAGAGGCAGGGCGTCTGAAGTGTTTTGGCAACACCAGGCTTGTACAAGGGTTGCTAGGGAGTACCAGTGTTTTGTCACTCAGAGGTAATGTGATGCCACTCTTGTACCCATCTAGGTAGGTAGGAAGGAAATTTTATAATGTGATAGACATGATCCTATTTTAAGATAGCAGAACTTTTCTCTCATCAGGTATCCATCAGCAAAATGTCACTATTTTTTTTGCCAAATTTCACAGGACTCTGAAAGCACTACTGAAAACTAATATGGCAATCATTTAGTTTCAGTATAGCAGAATAAACTCTTAGTCAACCTTAAGCTGTATGTCCAGCTCTACTGCCAGTGCACTAACATTATCATAGTCAGCTAATTCCTTCCCAAATTTTGATGGAACAAATTGAGGTGAAATACCATTTGTTTCCCAAAATTTCCCTAGAAGCTGGAGCTCTTCTATGAAAAACTGTTTTAACCTGGCATGGAAGACATTAATGGTTACAATGTAACCATGGTGGTTATCAACGTAACCATTATGAAGAACTTATACTATTGTTCACTTCTCAGTGTTCAATGACCTAGACTTCTTGTTTGCTGAAGAGTTGCCTAGCATTTTAGCTGTCTGACTTAGCCTGTTTTAATGGTCGACGCCCACACATTCCATAAAAGGCTACATTTTAATTCTTTTGAAAATTAATTTATTCACCTTGTGCACCTCTATGATCCAGTGATATTACTTCAATCACATACTTTATAATAAGCACAATACTTAAGGGTATAAGTATTTTAGAGATATTATTGATTAGCAATGAGCTAATACTCTGACATGCCTGATTTTGTCGAGAAGGCAGAATTGGTCCCGAGTTGTTTAATTATTGATTTATTCAATACTTAAGTACTTATACACAGATGCTACCTATATATTCAAGGTGACATTAGGAGTTGTACCATGTTTAAAAATTACTCAGAAGTAGATGCTTCCCCCAAGGAGCTTATATTCCCATGAGGAAAGAAAGTCATTTGTGTAAGTAACTAGTCTAAGAAATAAAGTTAGTGTATGTAACGACTTTAGGAGTTACACATGTTATTACTAAGGCACAAGTGAAGTACCATGAGGGCTGAGAGGAGAATGGGAGAAGTTGAATCTAGCTGACCTTGTCAGGAGGCTTTGGAGAAGCAGCTAGGTGAACATGATGGATGGTCATAGGGGGCTGGAACTTGGAGCGGACAGGTGCTCACATCAGGGGTTGGATGGGAGTGAAGGCCTGGGTGGGGCATGCAGGGATGGGAAGTGGGGAGGGTGGGATTTCATGTCAAGGGCTGGATGGAAGTGAAGGTCTGGCTTATGGGAGGATGGGAAATGGGGAGGGTGGGCTTTCATGTCAAGGGGTGGATGGGAGTGAAGGCCTGGGTAGGGGATGGGAGGTGAGGAGGGCGGTACTCATGTCAAGGGCTAGGTGTGGGCAACAGGTTGACGGCCTGGAGCTAGAGCACTGGGGCATTATTTGGAACTACGAATCTGAAATCTAAGTGACCATATAGGGAGCAGTAGGAAGTTGAGAATACCTGGAGGAGGATAGATCCTTAACAGAGAAAATTGAGTGGCAGGACGAGGGGCCTGGATTTATTCACGTGTTAATATAGGGAGCAATACAGGACTTTTGGGGGAAAGAATGATGGTGTTAAAGCCATGTTTTAAGAGGTGTAAGACAGCCTCAATGAGTAGTAGATGTGGAAGGGAGAGAACATGAAGAGGAACAACAGCTAAGTCACCACGTGCAATGCACACACAAGGCCTGAGAGCTTGAGGAAGCAGAGGGCAAGGATGTTGAGGACTTCAAGAAGTTAAAATAGGTAGGACTTGGAAATTGATGACCTACAGATGAGGGGGAGAAAGGGGTCACCTGGAATGCAAGGCATCCATGCCCAGAAAATGGGCAAAAGAGCAGAATTGCACCCAGAAACGGGACATTAAGGAGAAGGAAGAGTTCAGGAGGAAGATGATGGACTTGCCAAGTCTGAGGCATCCTGGAGACACACAGGTCACATTGTCTGGTGGTCAAAACGGTGGGTGGAGTGACATGAAGAGGAAGTGGAGCGAGAGGTAATTGGATAGGAGTTTTGGGAGAGACAGGCGAGAGCATGATGGGAGAGTCTCCACGAAGAGGAAGGAGGACAAAGGGCAGGTCCCCGTGAAATCCCACATTTAAGGGGTGTGAGGGAGGGAAGCCCATGTGGCGGCTAGGCAGATGTTATTGATATTCGGACTTGGTGAGTTGGGCCACGTGACTCAGAGGAGCAGTGGAAGGGCATGCGTTATTTCAAATACACAGCCTGTGAGGCTGAAGAACACGCCCTGCCTCATGCTACTGTGGAGGTGCAAGAGCCTTTGTGATCCTAGGGACAAGCACATCATTTGACATGGAAGGGTTTGAAACCTTGAGAGGTTAAGAGACTTGAGTAATAAGGCATTTAGTAGCAGAGCCAAGACTAGCGAGCAGATCTTCTTAACTTCCAGTCCTGGGCTCTGTTTACTTCTCTTTGCTGCCTCCATAAAAGCAAGAGCAGGTCGTGGGCATTTAGGTATGGATAAAAGTAACAACCAACAGACACCATCATACCACTTGGTTAGAAAGAGGGTATATTTTCTAAACCAACAGAAGCAATTGAAAGAGGCAAGTTAGAGAAATGATGAGAGAATTCAATTCGTCACACATTTTCAGATGCATTCTGCTAGAAGCTGATACTCTCAGGACTTCATGATTAGCTTAGCTTAAGGTCTGAAAATAATAACAGTAGAAGTTGTCTATTTGACTTTAAATACAGCCAGCAATGCAGAGTTTGTGGTGATGTATGAGTAACGGTCACTTTGACAAAAAGGAACGTGCTAACAAAATTCCCAGAAAAGAATCCTGGGTATAATTAGTTTACTGAATTTCAATAAAATAGACTTTAAAAATTATTGAAAAGGCTTCTTAAACTT